TAATTAATATTTCTCAGCTCATGTCACTCATTGAGTACCCGAAGTGTGACTTGATAATTAACAGGAAATTCACATCCCAAAGCAAACTAATCAATATTAATGTCATTGAGGATGGCAAATTCTGATCTTACCTCTGCTATGGTTATGCATTCCGGATGCAAGAAATTAATCATGTGGTTGGCCAGCATTAGATAACACAAAGCATCTTCATCCACATGTAGGCCAAAATATTCATTGTAATCTCCACTGAATCCTGTGCCTAATAAGACAGGAAGTTTTAAAGGCCACAGTTGCTTTTCTTAAAAAAACACAGATATTTTGTAATATGCAATTTTATAAGCACTAAATTTATTCATAATTTCAGATCTATCCACATAGCAGCACCACAAGATATTAGTGAATCTGGAATTTTTGGAGCCTTCAGTGAACTTTATAGCACTATTTCCACAGCAACAGAGCTGCAACAGGACTGCTGAGATTAGAGTTGATTAAATTACTTACCAATCCCATGATGGTGATACAACATAGATGTAATACCATCAAATCGGAAGCCATCAAAGCGATAGTCTTCAATCCACATTCTCAAATTAGACAGAAGGAATCTTAAAACTTCCCAGCTGAAATAACATGAATATATTTTATAAGCTTTAGAAACCTTGGGATCAACTAGAGTTCCTTATACCATGTTCCCCACTTGCATATACGATACTTGTACTGGACATTTTGCCATTTTAATGACTTCTTCCCTGTTTTTCATTAGCCTTTTCCTAAAAAGTTTGTCTTCCTTAAATCTTTGTCTTTTACTGCACGTAATTTTAAGATTGCAGATAGGGGTTTAGGAAAAAATGCCAACTATCTATATAATAGAATCTAAACAGGTTAGTGTTTGAACACACGTATTACATTTTAATACCCATACTCGCCACTGTACTTGCCTCTCTAAAGATGGTTATACTCTGTTGGAAAGGATCTTATATAAATGGAAAGAAAATTGTAATAGGTAAGATTTTTGTCCCCAAGATTTTATGGATTTACAGCAATTTCTAGGCATAATAAAAGCTGTCATCCGTCCCGTTCCCCCCAATTATTTACAAATCACATCACCAGTAGATTACCAAATCACCTGCTGTGTTGCAAATTTACACATTTAAAGAATAAACCAACTTATGGAAGTTAAGGAGACATTTTCTGAAATTCAGAACAACAGGAACGGGGTATAAACACACACACAAAGCATGGACATGAAATCAAAAAGAGGTTCCAAAGCAAGTAAGTATGTGGAGGCATTTGTGAACAAAATTCATAATCAAAGAACAAAATAGTTTCAGGAACAGTCTTCCTACTATTCATCCTCTCCTCTCCCAGAATACTGGTCTCAGTAGCTTCAAAGACCCCCTGTCTTATTTCTATTGTTCACCCTCTGTGCCACTACCCTCCCTGCTACCCTGGGCACGGGCTGCCTCAGGTGCATCTCCTGCAAGCTATGGCTCCAAAGAGCTCACACCCATCTCAAACAGCCAACCACATGAGGTAGTGAAAATTTTTTTGCCCACGTCTTCAACACTTGTCAATATTATGATTTCTCTCTAATCCATTTCCCAAGGTAGCACAACTACAACCCCACTTACTACCAACTTTCTGTTCAGAGAAGAGTGCAAGCTACACAGCAGCATGCAGGGTCTCACCAGCCACCCTCTGGTGGGTGAGATAGAAGGGGTACACCTAGCACAAAGCACATCAGTCAGCATCACTGTTAAATTTACCTGTGCACGTAGTTGGCATAAGGCAGTGAAGGACACCCTTTCCACATTTCACTTTATCTAACAGACTTCAGAGGCAGTAGACTCATGAGGTAATTATGACACAAGGAATGAACTCCATTTTGATGAAACAAATGTCCCCACCTTCCTTTCTCCAAAAAACTTCCTCATATGAAAGGTGCCTTAAGTCTGGAGTTAGTGGTATCACATGAAAAGAGGGGGAGGCTGTGGACACACTATAAAGCTGGTAAAATCCTGATGTCACCGAATAGCCGATTCTTATTTACTTTCATAGGATTATTATATTTCTCCTCTTCTTTGCATGTACTGCACACAGATACACACTTGTGCATATAAAGACAGAAATATTACCAAATCAAAGAATCCAAATTTAGGAAATGCGAATCAGTTCAATACAAATTGCCTCAGTTCAATACCTTTTCTGGGCATGCATTTGCATGCCAAGATTTTTTGTTCCATCCCCATGTTCCCCCGCCTCGCCCCAAATCATCCAATTCATAAGATAACACTATACTGGGAAGATCTCAGGATCTTGTCTACAGAACCTTTTATATATTTGTTATTTCTCAGGTGAGATGATTTGCAATGAATGAATGATAGAGAGAGAATGCTCTGATATTAAAAGGAATAGAAAGGTATCAAAAGTCCTACTAACTGGCAAGCTGGTCACAAAAATACAACTTTGTGCAAATGCTCGCTGTATCTTTTTCTGTGTATTTGATGCTGTGATTTGTGTCAGAAAGCTATTTGCTGCAAGCTAAACACTGTGAGCAAAGTCAAAGCAGTTGTTCTATTGCAATAAAAATACTATCTCACACAGTGAGATACATAACATAAGATAATGTATGTACAAAGAGTAGATTAATTGCTACAAGCACCAGCCAGACTTAAAAGTTATTTCTCCTCATTACAGACTGCTTGACTTTATAACCTTAGAGTTCTTAAGATGGTGAAGAGGATTTGTAATTTACATTTGTAAATGTACATTTACAATTTACAGGAGATTTACATTTGTAAAACATACACAGAAGTCCCAAAACGGATAACAAACATAATTTTTTCCATCATTGTTAGCACTGAAGATTGATCTTTGGAAAAAGATGGAGAACCAGTATGAAAATAAATTGCAATGACTTTTACATGAAAAAGTGACTAGAGATAAGAGCAAACAAGATGGATTTGTTGAACCTAAAGATTAGTGCGCAAATTGATGAGACCAAAAACCTGGGTAGGAGCAGATGTTTTCCAACCATCTGATTGCACATGAGAGAAGATTGTAAATAAATAAATAAACAAACATATGATTCTAGTCTAACCTTGGAAAAATTCAGTTTTAGGATAGTTTTTAGGAAGGATGTCAAATACTAGCAACCATACTGACTTTTAGAGAGATAACTACACAGCTCCAAAACATGAGCCAGAACAACAGTTTTTTTGAAACATGCAAATCATACAAACCATACAGAGGTTCATGATTTCATCCAAGTCAATTTGTTTATGGGAGCAGCAGCATTACAAATAGAAGTTGACAGAAGTAACAAATAACTTTGCAGAATGCCAGTAGAGGCCAAAATCATAGCATAATTGAAATACATCCACCACATAAGCAATAACTCAGGAACACTTCTAAAAGAAGTACATTCTCATAATTTTACAGACAGATACGGAAACAGGATAGCATTCATTAAGAATGTAATTTCTTTTGGGCAAAAGCCATATCTTAAATTATATCCTAACAGTCTCTCACATTTTTGCATACCATAAAATTGATAAAGTTTTTCATTGCATGCATGATCTAAAAGAGGAAAATATATGCTGTATTATCATTAAGGAACAGAATGATTTACACTGTAAGAAATTTAAGTAATTCAGAATTCACTCAGACATCATTCAAAACAAAGAAGGCCTTTGCAGAGAAGTCTTACTGGGTTTTTTTCCTCCCCCTTGGGGCCAATAGCTCACACATTAAAAACCGATTTCTCGTTTGAAAAAGTGAAATGAGCATATCTAGCTAGATGACCTGGTTTCACAAGGTGATGAGAAATTTAACAACTTTCCTATACAAGGTGAGCAGAAAACCTGTGAAACTGCTTACAAGTCACACTCATTATTTACTTTTCTTTCCTCCTGTACTGTCGCGAATGGAGTGAGACTGCACTTCACTCATACGAGAGAAGCAACAATACACTTTATTGATAGAAAACAGTGAGTTAAAGTGTGAGTTAACAAAGTCCAATGGTAAATGCGACAGTGAACAAGATTCGATGGCAAGGTACACTTGATTATTTACTGCATAGAGGACAGGGTCGGACAAAACTGTCAGGGAGACCCTCCCGTTGAGTCATGAGGTTCAGAAAGGACCCCCTTGCTTTCTAAACTTCTCAGAGAGGAGTTTAGGTGCAGCTGGATCCAATTCTAGTCCCCGTCTTGGTCAACGGTTTACATCTAAAGGATTATATATGTGCAATCAATCCTTTATATCACTTAGCTAAGATTTCAAAGTTTAGCACGCTATTAGTCACTTACCGAGTATCTGTTGTGGCAAGAATCTCTCAACCTCGAGGAGTAACCTTGAGAGGCGTCCCTACTCAAGGGGAGATCCCACCGTGCGGCCCGCTGCCGGGCAGGAGAGCTCAACGGGCCCTGGGCTGTCCACTATTTATAGAGTAAGAGGAATGACTTATAGTCATATTTGCATATCAGCAAGTCATTTGACTCACTGCTCCAGGCAGCCCTTGGCTACTATGTTGCCATCCATTCCCAAAGTCCAGCATAACCTGGATGGAGCCACAACGACCCCCACTGGTGGTCATTGCTTACGCAGGGCAGGGGGAGCGCACCGCCACGTATACTACTAAAAAAGCAAAGCAATGATTCACCGTAAGACTTCTAAATTCCAATCCACGATGAACATCAAATATTTCGATGCAAGCAAGTAATGCATTTAAACCAGTTAATTTCATCACTATGGACAAAAAAACCCCAACCACCATTGGCTGTACCTAAAGCAGTTTGAAGCTGCAATTCTTGAACCATATCAACGTTGACATTCAGGAACTGCATTTATTATTACGTATTATAGAAAATGAGTGGAATCGCTGACCTTATAAGAATCTAGACTTCTATGATGATTTACCTGTTTTCAATTCTTAGTGATTAATTAACTTAACACATAGTAGCATTGAACTGCTAAAATATTACTTTTCGAATTATCCCCAAACATTTCAACAGCTGACCGGCTTAAATTCCACCAATGGGTTGCTAAACAAAGAAACTGGCACTCAGTCTCATAATGCTAACTTTCAGTGAATCTGGTCAAGTTATTTTATGAACTAAACATCCAGATTTGATATAGAGATGTTCTTTTTTTCACCGCTGTTAACCAGCATACACCAGTTTTCCTGTTATTAGATGCACTTTGTTTGATCAAAGTGATACAAAAGGGTAACCCAGTCTTACCCTATTTGGAAAACAACGAAAAGAATAAACTCTCTGTATTTCAACCTCCTTCATTTACCTGGAGAAGTAATTCCTCACTGTCCTCTACGTAATATTGTTGCCAAGACCCCAAACCATCTCTAGCCATAAGGCTAGAAGTCAAAGCAGCGCAGCAGGTGCCCACTTTTTAGCCAAGGGACAATCCTGACTCACGCTGCTAGACTGCTCTCAATACCTGCATTCATAATTATACCTAACGCCATTCTATGGGAACATACACATTCCTCTATCAGTCAACAGAACGTGATACAGTCATTAACAGACCAAGAGAGCTTTTGCTGGGTGATCCAAGCTGCATTATGCCTCCAAAATGAACTGTGCAGACAACAAACCAAAAG